CGGAGCAGGGAAGGGCAATCAAGTGAGTCTTGCTCTGGGGGAGCGCGTCTAGACGCAAGGCTGTTTGCATAAGCGCTACCTGGCCCGAGGTGGGGCACCGGAAAGCGTTGAGACTGACACACTGGCAAGATCAGGTTTGAAATGCAAACCGCCGCCACTTGGCCCCAATTAAGAGGCCAAACCTTTTATGTAAACAAGGAATAATTAGCTTTGGTAATAGAAGCGTAAACAGAATCATCATCCATTGATTTGCTAATTGCCTTCCTGGCCCATGACAATAGCCAGCATTTGGCTCTTCGGTCTGTCAGACCCTGTGCACCTGAGGCGCAGCTAAGGGGGGGTTGCAGTCCAAAGGGGGTGGTCAGCTCTCCCCCTCCACTCCACCTGCCTCTCAGATCCCTTTCCTCCCTCGCTGTAAATGCAGCTCCTGTCACTTCCCACTCTGCTTCAAGGAGTGAGGGCGGCTTGAACCACAGAACCCCAGTGGTGACCGGCTCAGCTGGGAGCTTTAAGTTCTAGACCCTGCAGTTCGTCAAAGAGCAGCCCATCTGCAGCCCAGAACCCAGGAACCTTCTTGGGAGTAGTTGCCCTATCACTCCTACCTCTCCCAGCCTCCATGTTTGAAATCATGTTCATTTTGAGGCACAATCAACCTCCAGGTTGCAAGATGGCTGGAAAGTTCTCCCAGGCCAGGGTGCCCTTTCGTCCCACCACCGTGCGTGGGCATAGCCAGCTTACAAGGCAGAGAGACCAACAGAAGGGGGACACTTGAGGGCGATGCAGTCCTGCCACCACTGGGCAGCTTCTTCAGCTCCTGAGGCCTTTCTACAAGGAGGGACATAGGGGTGACAATGCCCCCACCCCAAAGCTGCATTTGCATAGCACTTAGCCCAGCTTGGGAAAAATGTCACAGGCAGGCGTCCACATCAAAGCCTGGGCTCACTGCTCTGCAAGCCAGGGAGGAAGACTGTGGCTTTTGGTCTCAGGAACCTGGAGCATCTCAAGGCTGCCCACCCCTGAGCAGCATCTGGGAGGGTGTGGCAGTTGTGGTGACAATCTGGGTCTGTCCAGAGGAGGACCCGGCCTACCTTCCGTGGAGACCACTGATCATGACCAGGTCCCTGCACTCAGAGCTGAGTATCTTGCATAAAAGGGCACAGGGTCCTGATGCCCTCCTGGCACCCAGCCCATAACCCACCTCCCGCCCAGCTGGAAGCAGTACCTTTGTCTAAGACGGGCCCGAAGATGGCCAGGCTGTCATCTATGGTGGTGCAGTTCCAGCGGCGGCCCCGGAACTGGTGCTGACACTCTTGGATGCCCAGCTTCACACCCTCGGCCACGCTGGGCATGATCTCGATGTAATTTCGGCAGAAGCGCAGTTGTTTGGGGACCAGGCCTGGGATGGAGCCGCAGAGTAGAGGCTGTGAGCCCAGAGATGTGTACTGCTGGCCCAGGGCCAGGGACCTGCAGCAGACAGAGGGCAGTGGCACCATGGACATTATTTTTTTTTTCATGACAGCTCTGGGGTAGGTGGGCAACTGGAGGGCTCTAGGGCTGAACCTGCAGTTCTGAAAAGCCTGGAACTTGAATATGCTACTTGTGATGTCAGGAGCACAGTGCTCCCCAAGGGCTCTGATTGGGCAGTCAGCCCTCTGATGCAGGTGTATCTAGCCTGCTGGGTATGGGACCGGCAGAAACCGCTCATGGAGGCACTTAGGGGCAATGCAGTGTCATGAAAAGAATTCTAGCCTTTGAGACCCCAATCGTCCCATCCGGGCTCTGGGCCCAGTTTCCGTGATCGTCACTGAAGAGTTGGGCTGGGCAGTGTCCAAGAGAGTCCAGAAGCTGGGGCCACATGGAGACTTCCAGTAGGAAGGAACCCAAATCTAAAGCGAGGAAGGCACAGAGGGCACCGCATCCTCTGTCCACCAGGGCGTCAGTGACCTGGGAGTTTGGATGGTAACATTTTTGAGACAATTCAGATCTTATGGACGGAGTTCTTTTAAAGAGAAGGATGGAGCAGGGAGTTCTGACTTACTGCTGGTGATATCTCGTTACTGATTTCCTGCGAGCGAACCTGAGCCCTTTCCATGGGTTTGCCTAGAGTCATCCTTAACCCTAGTGCATAGTTAAGGTCGTCATTGGCAGCCCCATTTATTTTTTATTTGCCAGAGGGCACACACACTCATGAGAGACAGAGGGGGAGAAGAGAAAGTGAGAAAGCACACTCCCCCCAGGGGGATGGCCACACCACAGTCCCTTCCTCTGTTCTCTGAGGATTTGGGGCACATTCGCACATGCACCCAGCATGATTCTGAAGCCACAGTGTCTGGGACTTAAACCATGCAGATGGCAATGTGGGACCCAGCCACCTTAACCTTTCTGCCACCAGCTGGCCCAGTGGCCCTATTTTACAGATGGCTTAGTCCTGCAGATTAACCAGCCTAGGCCACAGAGTTACTAAGCAGTCGTTCCTTGGAGCCCAGACTATGGAATCCAGAGACCACAGGGCAAACCACTGTACCACCCTACCTTCTAGGCAATGCCTGCCTGGCTCCTGGCGAAAAGATGGTTTCAGGCCTGGATTGTCTGTGCCTGGGCCTCCATGCTGAGCCCAGAGCCCTGATGGACACATTGCACATACAGCATTTGATAGGATCCTGCAGGTCCCCCTCTCTGGCCCCTGCCCTGTTTATATGGGGGATGGGGTGGGGGATTCCTTCAAAAAGGTCTTGGAAAAATGGATATTATGAAAAACTGTTGGGACCAGCAGTTAGCATAATGGCTATGTCGCTGGACTCCCATGTAGTTGATGACAGTTCGAGTCCCGGACCCGGTGGCTTAAACTCAAACCGGGCACGTGTGCATGTGTGCCCAAGATCCCAAGAGGAGAATGGAGGATGATTGGGGTGTGGCCATCCCCCCCCCGGGGGGGTGATTTCTCGCTTTCTTTCTCTCTGTCTGTCTTTCTGGTGAGTGTACACGTACTATAGCACAAAACCTCTCCAAAGAAAGAAAAAAAACTGTTCATACATTTCACTTTTTTGGGGGGGTACCTAAATGAACTCATAAATTTTTTCGCAAACTTTTCTAAGTCCCCTCATAGCTATAAACCAATTAGAGAGATGATAAAATACCTATCCCATAATACTGTGTGCCCACCATGTGCTGGGCAGTTCTGGGAGCTCTGTCTGCCACCTCATGCCATCCTCACCGCAGGTCTGTCGGCAGAACTGCGTCCTCAGTCCTCAGTCCTCATCGCCATCACCCGTTTCATGCACGAGGGAACTGAGGCCAGGGAGTAAGCACCCAGCCCAAGCTTGCAGGGCTGTGCAGTGTCAGAGCAAAGTCCCTCCTGGCTCGGGATGTCACTTTTGTGCTCTTGACCAGCACGCCCAGCCCTGCCCTCCACTCCCCTGCCAGCTGCCAGAGCTCTGCATTGCCCAGAGTGGGAAAAAGATGGAGGGTTCTGAGCATATGTCTCAGAATAGCACCCTCTGGGAAGGTGGCTTGAGAGCAAGGCCTGCCGGGGAAAGTCCAGGTCCCACTTCCTGTCTGGGTGTTTAGGACCTGGATGGTGTTTGGGACAGCTGTGAGGTCCTTCGCCCGCCCCGTTCCTCCCACCACCTTCCTTCCCCTTCTTCCTCTCCCTCCTCCAGCCTACTCCTTACACCTGCCAGCACCTTCTGCAGGCATCTTCTCCAGCCGTGGCACCCCCAACACTTACAAGCTGGAGGTGGAGCTAAAGTCCCTCCTGGCTCAGAATCAGAGCCTAAAAGAGGAGCCATGAGACCATACAGCCCATTATACAGATGAGAAAGCAGAGACTCCTTGGAGAGGAGCAGCTTGCTCCAGGCCACAGGGCCAGATTCATGGAGCCAGGGAGGCTGGCTCCCGCGGGCTCCCACCAAGGGGAAAGGGCTGAAGAGTGAGAGGCCCCTGCGGCGCTTCACCTCCACTCTCGCCAAGGCTGCTCTTTGCCGCAACTCCCCGAGGGGCTTCCTGCTCCTGCTCTCACCAGTTCCTACCCGGATTTCCCAGGTGTGGCTTGTCAGCCCAGCAGAGCAACTGAACCCTGGGCAAAGGCTGGTGTCCTCCCCCAAACACCTCCAGGATGGAGATGCCACAGTCCCCAACCTGGTCCCCTGATGGGCCAAAATCCCTACTGTACAGCTGCGGTCCCTCCTCTGACTCAGGCGCCCTCACTTCCTCTGCAATCGCATCAACACTGGCCGTAGCAACCTGGACTCCATGCCAGGCACTTTGTGTCTATTATCTGACCCTCACAACAACTCTGGTGGGCATTGCCGTCCCCATTGTATAGATGAGAACACTGAGGCTCGGGGTGGATGATTTACGCAGGAAAGTGGCCTAGTCAGAATTCAACCCTGGGTGTGCCTGACTGCAAACGTGGTGTTCTCAGAGAACAACTTGCCCTCCCTCAGAGACAAAAAGTTGTTTTCCCATTTCCCAGCAGACCCTGAAGCTTCCTGCTGCCCAGGTCGGCATTGTGCACCAGGGAGCCAGAGTGCCGCAGGTCACCTCCAGCTGTGCCGTTGCCAGGCTGCTGGCTCAAGCATTTGCTTAACCTCTCTGTGCCTCAGTTTCTTTATCTATAGAATAGGCACAACGGGAGGAGTAAATGATACGACCCAGCGCCTGGCACCTAGGAGTCCTCAGAGGGGTCACTGAGGTTACTTTGTGTTTGGGGGCTGTTCTGAACACTCTGTCCCCTGCTTTGTCACCAGCCCCCACCCCCCATCCTTGCATCTCTGACTTGGTAGAACACACCACCCAGCACTGGGGAGAATGCCTTGTTTCAGATTAAAGGCTCCTTTCAGGCAGCTCGGTCCTAACGGGCAAGGGTTAGAGGTGACAACCAAGGGGCCCGGGAAGAAGGGCGTTTCCAGGATGCTTCAGCCAAAGGCTTCAGCCAAAGGCTCCAGCCCAGACGGGGACAACCTGCCATTAATTAGCAGGGGTGGGGTTTGTCTCCTGGGGGTGGGGTGGGGGTCCGTGGTCCTTCCTTCCCCTTCTTCCTCTCCCTCCTCCAGCCTACTCCTTACACCTGCCAGCACCTTCTGCAGGCATCTTCTCCAGCCGTGGCACCCCCAACACTTACAAGCTGGAGGTGGAGCTAAAGTCCCTCCTGGCTCAGAATCAGAGCCTAAAAGAGGAGCCATGAGACCATACAGCCCATTATACAGATGAGAAAGCAGAGACCCCTTGGAGAGGAGCAGCTTGCTCCAGGCCACAGGGCCAGATTCATGGAGCCAGGGAGGCTGGCTCCCGCGGGCTCCCACCAAGGGGAAAGGGCTGAAGAGTGAGAGGCCCCTGCGGCGCTTCACCTCCACTCTCGCCAAGGCTGCTCTTTGCCGCAACTCCCCGAGGGGCTTCCTGCTCCTGCTCTCACCAGTTCCTACCCGGATTTCCCAGGTGTGGCTTGTCAGCCCAGCAGAGCAACTGAACCCTGGGCAAAGGCTGGTGTCCTCCCCCAAACACCTCCAGGATGGAGATGCCACAGTCCCCAACCTGGTCCCCTGATGGGCCAAAATCCCTACTGTACAGCTGCGGTCCCTCCTCTGACTCAGGCGCCCTCACTTCCTCTGCAATCGCATCAACACTGGCCGTAGCAACCTGGACTCCATGCCAGGCACTTTGTGTCTATTATCTGACCCTCACAACAACTCTGGTGGGCATTGCCGTCCCCATTGTATAGATGAGAACACTGAGGCTCGGGGTGGATGATTTACGCAGGAAAGTGGCCTAGTCAGAATTCAACCCTGGGTGTGCCTGACTGCAAACGTGGTGTTCTCAGAGAACAACTTGCCCTCCCTCAGAGACAAAAAGTTGTTTTCCCATTTCCCAGCAGACCCTGAAGCTTCCTGCTGCCCAGGTCGGCATTGTGCACCAGGGAGCCAGAGTGCCGCAGGTCACCTCCAGCTGTGCCGTTGCCAGGCTGCTGGCTCAAGCATTTGCTTAACCTCTCTGTGCCTCAGTTTCTTTATCTATAGAATAGGCACAACGGGAGGAGTAAATGATACGACCCAGCGCCTGGCACCTAGGAGTCCTCAGAGGGGTCACTGAGGTTACTTTGTGTTTGGGGGCTGTTCTGAACACTCTGTCCCCTGCTTTGTCACCAGCCCCCACCCCCCATCCTTGCATCTCTGACTTGGTAGAACACACCACCCAGCACTGGGGAGAATGCCTTGTTTCAGATTAAAGGCTCCTTTCAGGCAGCTCGGTCCTAACGGGCAAGGGTTAGAGGTGACAACCAAGGGGCCCGGGAAGAAGGGCGTTTCCAGGATGCTTCAGCCAAAGGCTTCAGCCAAAGGCTCCAGCCCAGACGGGGACAACCTGCCATTAATTAGCAGGGGTGGGGTTTGACTCCTGGGGGTGGGGTGGGGCTCCGTGTTGTGTTTTGTGGAATAGCTGTCTCTCCAATCATGCCTGTTACCCCTGAACCCAAGCCTCCGACCCACACAATGTCCAT